TCCTTGCCTTGGTTCTAATCTTAGGAAGAAATAATCCAGTATTTCATCATTAAATGTGATGTGAGCTATAGGTTTTTCAAGAATGGTCTTTATCAGATGGGTGAAAATACTTCTTTTCTAGTTTGCTAAGAATTTGTATCATGACTGGATATTGAATATTGTCAAATGCTTTTTTATACTCATTGAAATCATATCCTATCAATAAATTTAATTACATTGATATTCAAATGTTAAATAAACCTTACATTCTTGGGATAAAGCACACTTGGTCATGATATATTATCCATTTAATTATTGGATTTCACATGATAATATTTTATTAGTTTTTTTCATCTATGTTTATGATAAATATAGAGTTGTAATTTTCTTTTCTTGAAATTGTTGGTCAGGTTGTAGATGAGGGTAATTCATTTCTCATATAATGTTCCCTCCTTCCCTCCTATTTTTTTGTTTCCTCCTGTTTTTTTGTGTAGGAATTTATAAACGATTGTTATTATTTTTCCTTAAATGTTTGTTAGAATTAACTAAGGGAACCACATAGCCCAGAAGCTGTTTAGTTTTTGGAAATATTTAATTATGAATTCAATTTATTTAATTGATATGACTATTTGTATCTTTTATTTTTTATTGGGTCAATTTTTATAAACTTGTCTTTCAAGAAACTTGCTGATTTTATCTAAGTTAGTAAATTCTTTGACAAAATGTTGCTCATAATATGCCCTTATCATCCTTTTTAATATCTTCAGTATATCTAATGATAGTCTTCTGGATTTGTAAATTGTCTCTATTCAGAGTTTTCTATTTCAGTGATTTCTGCTCTGTATTATTATTATTTTTTTAACAAAGAGGTATTTTATTAACATTGTTAGGCAACATGTTCCATGAAGGGAGCCTCAGCACACAGTCCATCTTGTACTTACTTTTAGTTTAATTTGCTTTACGTTCACTAGCTTTTAAAGTCACAGATTTTAAACCCTTCTCCTTTTCTAATGTAACCATTTAAAGATACAAATTTTTCACTAACCACTGCTTATTTGCATACCACAAATCTTGATTTGATACCTTTTTGTTTTTGTTTTAAAGAGTTAATTTTTTAGATCAGTTGAAGATTCACAACAAAGTTGAAAGGAAGGTACAGAGATTTCCCATAAACTCCCTGCCCCAACACATGTATAGCCTCTCCCATTATCAGCATTACTCACCACAGTGGTGCATTTGTTACCAAGAATGAACCTACATTGACTCATCATAACATCCCAAAGCCCATAATTTTACCTTAGGGTTAATTTGTAATATTGTACGTTCTGTGGTTTTAGACAAGTGTGCAGTGACATATATCCTTCATTATAATATACAATGTATTTTCCTTTCCTAAAATTTTTCCATGTTCTGTCTGTTCATCTCTCCTTCATCACCAACTTTGGCAACCACTGATCTTTTTGTTGTCTCCTTAGTTTTGCCTTTTTCCAAAATGTCATACTTGGAATCATACAGCATGTAGCTTATTCAGATTGGCTTCTTTCACTTAGTGATATGCAATAAGATTACTCCATGTCTTTTCATGGCTGGATAACTCATTTATTTTCAATACTGAATAATAGTCCATTATCTATATGTACCAGAAATTAATTATCCAATCACCTGCTGAAGGACATCTTGGTTGCTTCCAAGCTTTAGCAAGTATGAATAAAGCTACTATAAACATTTGTGTGCAGGTTTTTTTGTGAACATATGTTTTCAACTACTTTGGGTAAAAATGAAGCAATACAGTTGCTGCATCATATAGTAAGAGTCTATTTAATTTTGTAAGAAACTGCCAAACTGTCTTTCAAAATGGCTCTACTACTTTGCATTCTCACCAGCAATGTATTAAGGTTCCTGTTGCTCATGTCCTTGCCAGTATTTGATGTCATCAGTGTTCCAGATTTTGGCCATCCTAATAGATAGTGAATTAGTATCTCAGTGTGGTATTAATTTTTATTTCCTTGATGACAAGTGATAGGGCTCTTTTTGTAAGTTTGTTTGCCATCTATGTATCTTCTTTGGTGAGGTGCCTGTTTAAGTCTTTAACCCATTTTTATCTTGTTAAGTTTTAAGAGTTCTTTTATATTTTGGATAGCAATCTTTTATCAGATGTGTCTTTTGCAAATACTTTCTTCCAGTATGTAATTTGTCTTCTCATTCTCTTGACATTGTCTTTTGAAAAGTTTTTAATTTTAATGATGTCCATCTTATCAATTATTTCTTTCATGGATTATATCTTTGGTATTTTTATCTAAAAACCTAAGGCCACCTAGGATTCCTTCTATGCTAAGATCTAGAAGTGTTAAGGTTTTGTACTTTTTGCCTTTAGGTTTGTGATCCATTTTGAATTAATTTTTGTGAGGAGTCTAAGTTCTTCATATAGATTTTTGTTGTTGTTGTTGTTGTTGTTGATGTCCAGTTGTTCAAGCAGCAATTCTTGGAGAGACTGTCTTTGCTCCATTATATTGTTTTACTTCTTTGTCAAAGATCAGTTAATGGTACCTGGGAGTAATTTGTTGTATTTTCATTATTATTTTATCCTAAATATTTTCTACTTTCACTTGTGATTTCTTCTTTGACTCAGATTATTTTTAAGTGTGGTATTTAATTTTCAAATATTGATGTGATTATTTTATGTATCTTCTTATCATTGCTTTCTCATTTAATTCATTGTGTTTAGATACCATACTCTGTTAGATTCAATTTAAAATCTAATGATACTTACTTTATGGCCCACCATATAATCCTTTTGGTGGAAATTCCATGAACACTTGAAAATAATGTGTTTTCTATAATTATTGGGTATTACTATACTATAAATATCAACTGTGGAGCATTTGTGATAATGCCCAAATCTGCTGTATATTTTTTAAATTTATTTTTTTGTGTCCACTTTTTCTATTGGTTACTATCAAAAACAAGTTATAAAAGTTCCACCTACAATCATGGGTTTATCAGTTTCTGCCTTTAATTCTACTTTTGCTTCATGTATTTTGAAGCTTCACTAGTAGGTACATGCACATTTAAAGTTGTTATGTCTTCCTGAAGAATTTATTATTTTTTTATATTTTCTTATTTCCCCCTTTATACCTGCTGACACTCTTCATCTTCAGGCCTATTTTGTGTGATATTATTACAGCCCAAACATTTATCTTATGTTTATTATTTGCATGTTATATCATTTTCCACCTTTTACCCTGAGCCTGTTTGAATCTGACCACTGTTCAGGTTCCTAGGAAGCAGGTTCAAGATGGAGATTTGTGTGCCAGGAGTTTATTAGTTTATTAGGAGTTTATTATTTATTAGGAGTTTATTAGACCTGTTAATAATAACACCATTTTGGGAGGATGAAGGAAGCATGATTGGACAGAGAAACATTAATCTTCAGTGCAGTTACTACAGATTGCAATTCTTATGGGGGCTGTAGGCTGAGGGGACTCTCAGGGTGAGGTGGAATAGTCTTCATGTACTTTCACTGACCAGTCAGTAGGTGAGGGCTACCCCCAAAAAGGGTGATCTTGGGCAAAGTGACTGTTTTTAGTTTTATGGGCAAGTCCTAGAAAGGCATTCAAAAGCTGTCAGTTGATAACACATCCAGCCCCTATAGGAATGAATTGTTCAGTCCTGGAGCCGGGGCTTTTGGGGTACATATAATATCACAGTGTGCTTCTAAGTAAAGTGTTTCTCTTGTAGCCCCTGCACTAGTAGGATCTTGGTTGTTTAATCCACTCTAACAATCTTTGGCTTTTCATTGGAATGTTTAATCCATTGATACTTAGAGTAATCACTGATATAGTTAGGTTTGACTGTGCTATCTTTCTGTGTGTTTTTTATATCTCACATATGTTCTTTCTTTTCCTGGTTTCTTTGGGTTTAATAAAATTTTTTAATGTTTCCTTTTTATTATTCTGTTGACTTTTTGTTATACCCGTTTTTATTTTTCTTATTAATATTTAATGGTAGGTCTTATTTGGTGTATCCTAAACTTTGTATCCGAGTTTATTAAAACAACTAATGCCAAATGAAAGAACTTTAAATGAATGTAATTTCATTCCTTCTGGTATTGTCATCATATATTTAACTTCTATGCCATCTTATAAATTGCACAATACTGTGGTGCTGTTTTATTGTGTCAGAGGACTGTCCTTTATGAATTAAGAGAAAACTAAAAGACAACCTTTTGTATTTACCTACATATTTACATTTCTGTCACTCCTTGTTCCTTCCTATAGATCTGAGGTTTTATCTGAAGATTTTCTTTTAGTATGTTTTATAGGTTAGGTCATTGGTGATACATTTTCTCAATTTTTATTTAACTTGTGTATTTCTCTCCTTTCATGGAAGCATGTGTCTTTTTTGTTACCATTATGCAATTCTTTTACTCTAATTTCCTTTTCAAAAGATAATCAGCCTTTCAATTCCAACACATTTCCTGAAATAGACATTACGTCAAAGTCTTTTTTCCTGAATGGTTATTAAAGGTGTGACAACTCCATACCTTGGAATTAGGCTCAATTTTTAGCCCCCTGGGTCAACAAAGTCAGCTGGATTTATCTGCCTTAACTTTAATTTTATAATTTATTTCTGGCTACTGGTTTCTTCCTCACTAATGATGAGTGATGTCCAGTTATGAGAGTTAAAATTTTTCAAAATGTCTACTTGTTATCACAGAGGTGATCAATATAAGAGGGAGGGCAGCAGCATGAAGAGCCAAAATGAGAGAATCAGCTTTTTTTTCTGTACCTCATTGTATAAAATAGTTGTGTGGTTATAGGGAACAAATTATGAGGCTTAACTACCAATGAAATTTTATTTATGTATTTATTTTTCATGGACCGGCATGTTCACCTGCCTAATGAAGTCTTTTCAGTTATTATTTTGAGATCACATGGGTGCTCAATAGAAAACTGTATGTAATTTATAAGAAATCATTGCTGAGATTTCAACTTTTGCTCTGCTACTTCCTGCTCTAACAGGTCTATGGAAATGCAGGACCTAGCAAGTCCTCATTCTCTTGTTGGAGGGGGTGATACTCCTGGCAGCTCTAAACTGGAGAAAGCTAACCTTAGCAGCACGTCAGTCACCACAAATGGGACAGGAGGTAAGTGTACCACTCCGAAGATATCCAGAATCACATCTCAGTGTTTGCTGTGATTTCACATGTTAGGGATATGCTAATAAATAAGTGTCTCATTAGCAATAGCATAATCAGCATTATATCCAAGGAATATCGGGCCAATGGGTTATTTATTGTTCTCTTGATTTTCTTGAAACTTTTGTTCCTCCTCTAGAGCTGGAAGCCTTCAGAAAGGACAGCTTTGAGTGACATTTTGAGGGCTTTTTAGTAAAGCTTACTTTTTGTATTTGCCCTTGAAAATATTACAAAATGAATGTATAAAATATGGCCAAAAGATTTGCACACTGATCTTACAAGGAAGAGAGCAAGAGAGGAAGGAAAGAAGGGAGGAAGGAAGGCAGAAAGGGAGGGAGGGAAGGAAGAAAGAAAGAAGAAAAAATACTTTTGGGTTTTATTTTGAATTATAAAAGGAGAGTTCCCCCCAAATTTTTCTTAAACACAATTTTTTCTTAAAAAATGATTTGGGGAATAGAAAAATATATCTGCTGCATTTTCTTTTCAAAGAGAATAATGCCTAACATGTATTTAAAATAGGAATTGAATTTTTTTCTAGATACTTTTTCATTAGATCAACCCATAATTGCATATGGCAACAATAACAGTTATTTAAATATTCTGTTCCTACCACTTTTATAAAATGAAGTCAACCTGTCATAAAATATGATCTGATGTTTGTATCAGAATATGTGTATATAAAGACTACATATAACTCATATATTATTTATCAGGTGAACTTTAAACTCTTCAGTCATTTTTAATTTTGTAGATCAAGTTGTTTTAGTCAATAAGTAAAATGTTACACAAATTTTGTTTTAATTTAAACTATTTATAATTCTAGATATCAGCATTTGCCACATCATATTTTCTTTTCAATTTCAATGTTTTTATGAAATGGGTATACCTTTTCCCACCTTTTCAGAATAACTACAATCTAAAATTTTCTTTGTAAAGTTGTGTGCATTGCAACTTGCCTGTATTTAATAATGTTTTACACCAAACCCTTTGTAGATTAACATTTTCCTTGTTTATGTTTGTCTCTAAACATGCATCTATAACATCAGCTAATTAATTATAGGACTGCAAATTCATAAGATTGTTTAGTGAAGACTTCTAGAGTAAAAGTGTTTATATTTAAACCTTACCTTGGATACAAGTAATAGGATTTTTTTTAAAAAAACCATGCACTCTGGAATCAGATCTTTAAGTTCACTAATCATCATGCATATATGTTTAACTGACCTAAAACAGACCTCATAAACTAAAATGTAAAAGTCATACAGTATAGTTATAATTTTGGCATAAAGGTCAGGAACCAGGGCAAGCATTGAAGACTATTCACGTACACTAAGCAGGCATCCAGACAATGACCCCCTATACTGTTCCTATTCTCAGGGGAAAATATGACTGTTTTAAACACTGCAGACTGGTTGCTGAGTTGCAACACTCCCTCTTCAGCCACAAGTATGAGAGATGATGGTACACTGCATGTGTTTGGGTGTGTGGACTGGCCCTTCTGGGTGGCTTTCTGTTGCTATTGCTGTGTTTGCACTCCCTTTTCTGTGTTCAGTACTTACAAGAAAAAAGAGAATTAAACGGGCCTTTTAGCTTTTTATTGGTAACACTTGGCCATGTTTTTATTATTAACTAGCATTCTAATCTTAGATGCCTTGGATCAGTAGCATTCTTTTTTTAGAATTTTGTAATTTTGCACAAATGGCTACATCTATTGTTTTCCTAACTACATACCAGTTTATTAAGTGTTATTTCAGCACAACAGTCATGTTAGAGCACTGGAAGCAAATAGCACATACATACAACCTTAATCATGTCCATAACCTGTAGACTGTCATAATTTAAACTGAATTCTTAACATGGCAAAAAGGTATTTTCTCTTTTGGATATGATGAATATTCTAGTCAAAGTGCCTAATGTGATATTCATATTTAAAATTCAATCACTTAAAAAATTGTCAGTGATGAAAGCTATACATTTAAAATTATAAATTGTCTCTTAAAATTTTTGAACTATAAGATATTTGCTAAATTCATATTTTATATATATGTATATGAACGAATTTTTCCTAAATCAAAGGTTAATATGTTGTCAAAATAATAAAATATTTGAAAAACCCATAACACTACAGTGAAACCACCCAATTTTAAGATTATAAAGACCTCCCTACCTATTGGAAATATGCACTGCAAACAAGCAGATAGAATAGACACAGTTTGGCTGGACCTTGCTGTATCTGGGATTAAATTAGAATATATCAGTATTGAATTAAAGACACTCCATTACACCCATTACTTATATTTTTATAGTTGTAGGTTCAATGTTTTTTCAGTGTTGCACTTAAAATATACTTTTTATACTTAAAAATACGTTGCCAGAATTTAGTTCCTCTTAAATCCAACTCAGGGGCCTCTTTCTATAAAGAGCCAGATTATAAATATTTTAGGCATTGTAGGCTGAACAGTCTGTCTCATCTACTCAGCTGTCATAGCTCAAAAGCAGCCATAGGCAATACAAAAATGAGAGTCTTTGGATTCCAATAAAACTTTATTTATGGACCCTGAAATTTAAATTTCATGTAATTATCATGTCACAAAATATTCTAATTTTGATTTTTTTAAGAAAGCATTTAAGATGTAAAAAAATTCTTAGCTCATTGGCTGTTGTTCTATGCTAAAATATTCATGTAACAGAGGTAACTATAATAGTGAATGTGTAAACCCAATATTTAGTAATTTACATATAATCTCAACCAAAAACATTTTCATACTGTTAAGCATCAAATTTTCCTGGTTTTTACTCTTAATATTAAGATTTGTGTGGCCATATGGCAAAAACAAGTACTTGTGTGTCAAGAGGACGATGGATCTGAATCTTAACATGACACTTAAAAGCTGTGTCACATTGGACAAGTTGCTTAACCCCTCTGAGCTTCCATTCCTTTTTATAAAGGAAAATAATACTTCCCTGGCAAGACTTTTGTCTTAAATTAGATAATGTATACAAATTACTTGACAATAAAAGCCAGTATATTTCCTTTTCTTTACTTAATAATTCAATGAAAATTAGACATCAGTTTTTAAGGAAAATGAAAACATGCATCACGTTAAAAGACTTTCCAGTGTTTGGTCAGATAATAAATTTTTCTGCATTTAGAATGTGTAAAAAAAAGAGGAAAGTTTTTATTAACAAAATGCTAGGTATACTTTATTATGATAGTAAATTCTTAGCTCATTGGCTGTTGTTCTATGCTAAAATATTCATGTAACAGAGGTAACTATAATAGTGAATGTGTAAACCCAATATTTAGTAATTTACATATAATCTCAACCAAAAACATTTTCATACTGTTAAGCATCAAATTTTCCTGGTTTTTACTCTTAATATTAAGATTTGTGTGGCCATATGGCAAAAACAAGTACTTGTGTGTCAAGAGGACGATGGATCTGAATCTTAACATGACACTTAAAAGCTGTGTCACATTGGACAAGTTGCTTAACCCCTCTGAGCTTCCATTCCTTTTTATAAAGGAAAATAATACTTCCCTGGCAAGACTTTTGTCTTAAATTAGATAATGTATACAAATTACTTGACAATAAAAGCCAGTATATTTCCTTTTCTTTACTTAATAATTCAATGAAAATTAGACATCAGTTTTTAAGGAAAATGAAAACATGCATCACGTTAAAAGACTTTCCAGTGTTTGGTCAGATAATAAATTTTTCTGCATTTAGAATGTGTAAAAAAAAGAGGAAAGTTTTTATTAACAAAATGCTAGGTATACTTTATTATGATAGTCTTGGTAGCATACTGATATGAAATTTTTAATAAATTTTAATGACTTTTTTATGTGGGTGTTTATAATAAACTAAGAATTTGGTGCATAATCTTTCCCATTTAGAGTAAACTACTTTTAGTCCAGGGTTTTATTGTTGTAATTGGATGACTCCATAAAATTATTATAATAAAACAAAAGACTAAAGGAAAGGTTAATTTAGTGGCTTTTTAAGATCTTTCTGTTAACTTTGAGATTTTCAAAAAGCTAGTTTTTATTATGTAGTTTTTACTAACCTGAGTAAGTTGTTAGTATCACCTTAGTATTGTACTACACTATGTTGATGTTGTTTTTGTTTTTCCTTAAAGTAATTAAAAATATTTCAACACATTAAGCCTAATTTTATAATTACATCTGCAGATTTATATTGGAACCTAGATTTTCCTTGCAAATTTTTGTTAAAATGTAGAATTATCAATAAAAATAGAATAAATGCAGTCATAATTTAACATGTAGATCAATGGGCAACAAATTTTTCTGTAAACAGATAGTTAATGTATATTTTAAGCATTGCAGGCCATACGGTCTTAGTTGTAAGTCGTCAGCTATGCCATTGTTGTACAAAAGCAGCCATAGACAATATGTAAATGAATGAGCGTGGCTTTATTCAAATAAAACTTGATCTATAAATACTGAAATTTGAATTTCATAACATTTTCACATGTCACAAAATATTATTCTCTTTTTGATATTTTCAACTTTTTGAAAATATAAAAGCCATTAGCTCATGGGCTATACAAAAACATCCCATTTGGCACATTTGGCATATGGGATGTAGTTTGCTAACCCCTGGTAATAGGTATATATGCTGTATATGAAGTATATGTATGCTTCATGTATCTGCATAGTCAAGCATCTAAATCATGTAAATTCATGCATGTCAATGCAAGTCAGTCATATGAAAAGTTACTTGCAGTTATAGGTAAGATTCTAATTTGCTTAATAGAGTCAAGATTCATAATTAGCTACACTTGATATGCAGACATTCTATTCGGAATGCTTAGGATAGAAGTGAATTTTCACTCTCTCAATTAAAATGTATCAAGTTCCTATTACATGCCAGGCTCTGTGCTAGGAACCCAGTGTGGCCATACAGAACGCGATACTGGCCGCCAAGGGGCCAAATGTCTAGCAGAGGAAAACAGACAAGAATATATTGAGTGCATAATGTATTCAAGGTGATGGTACATAGCAGAGAGAGGGAATATCTGATTATATGTAGAGATTAAGAAAATACTTCAAAGAGAAGGTTTGGGGGAGTCAAAATCAGACATTCTGATAAGGTTTGTGGTGTTTTCTTTATTTATGACCTATATATCATAGAAAAGAATCTTACAGAATTTTGAACAGATGATTGGCTCACATGTGATGAATTTGTTTCTGAATGTTATGTGTTTGTATAGTAGAGCCACCAATTTATTTATTGTGGCTCTACTATTTTTAGATTCTCTTTTAGGAATGAAAGTCATAAAGTGCTTCATCAAATTATTTTACACAATTAAATACTTTCTGGATGTTTAGAAATGAAAGACACTTGGTGTTCATAGGTGTTTGAGTGAATATATTCATTTAGACAAACATAAATCATAGGCTGTACCAATGATTAGAACTGGTAGGTGATGTCTCTTGCTCCCCTGCAATGTTATAAATTGTATCCTTCCTGGTCTAACTTCTCCTGAAATACTTTGTAGTAATTAAGCTGTCAAAAGTCCCTAAGTGTGATTTTGTGATTCAGAAAGTAACATAAATCATAGGCTGTACCAATGATTAGAACTGGTAGGTGATGTCTCTTGCTCCCCTGCAATGTTATAAATTGTATCCTTCCTGGTCTAACTTCTCCTGAAATACTTTGTAGTAATTAAGCTGTCAAAAGTCCCTAAGTGTGATTTTGTGATTCAGAAAGAAGTGTATTTAAAATTACGTATATATATATAGTCTTTTAAGTGAACACTGATTTAAACACAGATTTCAGAAGATGAAATGTAAAATGTAAATTACCTGGATTACCTTCTCTTTCAAGGATTAAGCCTGATACTGCAGCAAGACTTGATAATACAACTTGGGTTGAAAATTTTAAAAAAAGAAATTATCTTCTCCAAAAATAATTAATATGCATTAATGTTGCACTTGAGTTGCAAAGATAATCTGAGGGGACAAAAAATTAAATTTGCTTTGAACGTTTGTATATGGGGTGTGGATGAAGATTTGGGATGTAAAGGGAGGAAATCAGGGACTTTGTAGCCATAGCTGACACCTGCCAATAATCACTGGTAATCTTGATTTAGTCCATAGATAGCAATTATTTTTAAAGGTTAAAAGATAAAATCCAATTATATCAATCTATTAAAATCAATATATTACAATTACTTTGACTTTTTAAAAAACTATTTGGCTCTATGGAAAACATCCAAATTGCAAATAGTTAACTAGTAGGGAGCAGGGACCTGAGAATACAAGTATTTTTTGAAGTAATGGTTCTGTACGAAGTGCTGTACAGTTGACCCTTGAACAACATGAGTTTGAACTATGGAGATCCATTTATACACAGCTTTTTTTCAGTAAGTACAGCGCAGTATTATAAATTTATTTTTTCTTTTGATTTTCTTAACATTTCTTCTAGCTTACTTTATTGTAAAAATACAATATATAATACACATAACATAAAACTATGTATCAATCAACTGTTTTTATTATCAGTAAGGCTTCAGGCCAATAGTTGGTTATTAGTAAGGATTTTAAGGAGTCAAAAGTCACACACAGATTTTTTACTGTGCTGGGAGGTCAGCTGTCCTAACCCCTGCATTTTTCAAAGGTCAACTGTATAGCTTTTTCATCCCACTCTTACAGAAAAAAACCCTAAATTATTTTGAGCTTATTGAAGAATAAAACCACAACAGTTGTTAACCTATAACATTAAACTACAATTGTTGCTTTAGAAATCAAAACAGTTGTAAGTTTGAATTTTTTTGAAAACTACATTTTTATCCTATAGAAGGTTATCCTTTCCATTTTATAGCATGTAATGATTTTGGACATCCAGAAAATAAGTTAAAAGCCCTGTTTAAACTCTGTGTTAATTTAAGAAAAATAAAATACAGTAAGATAAATACACTTGAACATAGCACTTGGTAATTGATAATCATTTGGAATGAGGACTTCAACAAGTTTTAGAAAGTAGTAAGAAACACAAAACTAGATTTGTTTTGTTGAACATATTTCCAATAATGCCTTGCACACATTTAATTAAAATAGTTTCCTGCCACTAGAAAAGCAAATTATGTCTAATTTAAAGTTCAGAAACATAAAGCAGAAGAAGAAAAAATGGAATAGATTTCTAATATATTTAGACCTTTAGTGGAAATGACTTCCATTTTTCAAACTTTATAATTATTATGTTTACTTTTTACTACCTAGCTGTTTTATAAATACTAAGGTACTCTTGTACTTAACATCTTTCTGATAAACCAACTAATCATACTAAGGAATATCCATTCCATTTCCCTTTCTAACATTTCTGCCCCTAAAAAAATTGATTACCTAATACTATAATTATTATTATTATTATTATTATCTTATAAAATCAAACCAAATTACTCTATGTCTCACTCGGAGATCAAGATCTGTTCATTGATGCTCACCTAATATGAATATGAACCTACATCTCCCCGTCTCATTTTCTGTAGCAGCATTAATTTCTTTTCCCTTTTGTTCAACCCTTACCTGCATATGAAAAATAAATTTGCACTAATGTGGTTTATCCCCAAATTTTGGCATCCATTTATTGAATTATTACTTTCAAATCCATGCCTTTTAGTACACTGAACACATATTGATATTTATGCTGCTCTTCATATACTTTCTAGGATGCCTTTCCTCAGTAAAATGAGCCTTCTTTGTGTCTCTTTGACTAAATGCAGAGCTTTAAAATTTTAATGAGAGGTGTTTCCAGTAAAATGAATACAAGCACAGACTCCCTCTCTCTCTCTCTGCCTTTTCTTCCTTCTCCTTTTGACCACCTGAAATTTTCAAATTGATATTATAATCCACACCAATACTTAGTTTTTGAAATCAAGTCTCAAAGTTAAGATCCAAAGTAACAAGACTAATCTTCATGTCTGGCTTCTAGACTAATATTTTTTAGACACAGCTCACATTCTGTTACCCTTCCCCCAATTCACAAGTGAAATATAAATTACCATTAGTATTAATAAATCTATAGGTATTGTTTTTGTTTTAGACACATGTAAACAGGAATTTAGCCACTGTTAGAGCTTAGGATCGCCGAGAAACTGTCTCTTGTGTTAGTTTTGCTGAAGACTTTGGACTGTGCCTTTTTGTCAGAAGTCAGATGTAAACACTACATCACAGAGCAGCCCTTACACCCATCTACATCGCACCCTTCATCATCTTAATAGAGAGCTCCTGATTAGTTAGTGCAGCCTGCAAGGCACTATGGCTCACATTGGATTCTGAACCTGCATCTCCCCATCTCAAATTCTAGCTCTTACTATCTGTCTGACTATAGGCAAATTATTTAACCTCTGTTCCCTCAGTTTCCTCTTTTGAAAAATGAAAATAATAATTTTACCTCCCTCGCATGACAGCTGTGAGGAGTAAATGAGTGGGTATCTATAAAGCACAGCAGCAGCTCCTGGCCTATATTAAGTGTCCTTTAAGTATGTTCTGTTATTATCTGCTTTCAAACTTGTTACTCTTGTTGTCTTCTAAAATATTTCTGAGAGGGAAATAGAAAAGATACTTTAGTAGCCTATTGCCATGTTTTGAAGTTTTGGTGTTTAGCAAAGTGTTCCTAATTGCTCTGTCTAGAAGACAACTCTGTCGTCATCACTATCTGAGGCTTAGTGAGCAGTCACTGTCATGAACATAAGGCATTAAATACCTGAAGGCAGCCCATTAATGGTGGAAAGATCATGAATGTTAGCGCTGAAGACCTGAGCTCAGCTCTTAGCTCTGTCCTCTGCCACAGAACTTATGCAAGTGCTCAGCACACCCCAACTTCAGTTTCCTCATGTGAAAAATGAACAGAGTGGTTCCTATTGATCACTGTTGTTTTAAGGATTAGCTAAGTGTAAATAGGCTAGCACTTAGTAAGCTCTCACTAAATAATTTTGTAATAGTAAATAATGCTTTGTGCTAACTATAATTATGGGTCAGGAATAACTAATGTCAACTCCTATGCAAATTACTACTGTACAGTGGTAACTACCAATTCATCATTTATCATTGTACAAATAATTAGACACTGCTCAGATTATTGTTGCTAATGAAATAGGCCAATCTTAAATTTCCCTTTTTGCTAGGATAAGTAATCTAAGCTTCTTTACTTCCTCTTTCCAACCTTTACAGTTCCCTGAATCTCCCAGCAGATCTTCATGACGTTATTAAGTCATGGATACTGAATTAACCCCAGGGTTCACTAAAGGAGGGTCTGGTCAATTTGACTTATGTGGAAAGAAAGCATAATCATTACTGCATGCTTCTCCATTTATACATCGCTTTTCTAACAGAGTAACATACTGACTTTCTTGGTTCATAGGTATATACTTTTACCCCATGTCTGGCTAGTCTTCAGCTGTTTTCTTTATACTTTTCTGCTTGCTTCAAAGTTATTTGACTGTAGCATTCCATTTATGAACAGGAAACCTAAGAGGTGTTAAGTAGAAAATAATTTAGTTTATTCCCTTGCTGCATTATGTGTGTAGCAGAGATTTGCCCAGAAAGGGAAAATATGGTGTGACAAAATGGGTAGAGGCTTTTTCTCTTCTCCCCGACCCCCAACCACTCGTTGCATCTAACAATGACAAAAATGTGTGCCCAACTATCTCATTGCCAAGTGAGGACTTTGCCAAACCATACCACCCCAAAGTAGAAATGACATATTAAAGAGTTTTCAAAAGATATACATACTGCTGTAGAAATCATCTCTTTCTCTATGCTTATCTCTATAATGCATTTAAAATTGTTACATAGCATTAAAATAGAAACCCAGCACCGTATGACTCTTAAATCAATTTTAGAGCAGAAATTTATCGAGTGCCTTTTTCACACATACATAGTTTCTGTATTTGTTTATACCTCCATTGTACTCATATGTAATCTTTTTTTCTTTTAACTTCTTGGAAAGAATAAAATATAAGCTAGTGTATCTTTTTGTCATGATTTGAATTCAGTGTGCTGAAGACTGATGATTCCTTTTTTTCTGTCTTTTGACTGTAATATCAGAGTGTGCTTAGGTGACTTAAAAGTGCAAATATGTGTACTGCTGTTTCACTTTATAAGATTGACTGCTTGCAAAAGCCAGATCCAAGAGAACTAGCTTAGCCAGAGGATTTTTAAATTAAATCCTCTATAAAATGCATGTCCATGTAGCTAATTTAACAAAACTCTCCTCATCAACTTCTCAGTTTTTTCTTGCATGCCCATGGTAGCTAGAAAAACCAATAGTCAGTGTCTTTGATATAAATTTAGAAATAAAACTCACATGTACTTATTCTTCTACATAGTGTCTCTTCTTGCAGTCAAAACAGAGCCTTTGAACAGCAGTGAAACCACAGCCACGACTGGAGATGGAGCGCTTGAAACTTTTACTGGGTCAGGTAAAGCCTTAAGCTTGAGTGTTGTTGTGTACACACTGGGGTCACGTAATCCTCCTGGCAGATAAACAGCGTAAACACCGATGCTGTAACGATCTGGAGCTTTGTAAATTTAGCAATAATTTCACTTTTTTTTCAGAGTTGTCATAAAACTGTGTCTTTTCAGAAACTGTATTTGGAGTCGTTTGGCTGGATTTACACTCGAAGGCAAATCAATCCCCTGACTTCACTATTAGAAATAAGCAGAGCCAGCTTCTTTTGTAATTATTTTATAAAGTGTTTAATTTAATAATTAGGTTGTAATAGTTGACTTTGTTCCCTCAACTTGCCCATTTAAGTGACATAAAACTGCCTTCTCTCTAACATTCGAGATGTAAAACTATCCATATGATTCCTTCTAAATAACCTTGTTTCCTCTCTGGGTTTAAAAAAATCCTCCTGTGTAAGCAGCTGAGTGACAAGTATTAAAGGTTAATGGGCTGCCCAGGAACACATGCTGGTTGCATTAGATTCTAGTCTCTGAGAGCACTACTTTCACTCAAACGCTTCAAAGAGAACAATAGTGTGTCTTTAAACATCAATCCTTTTTAGATATAAATACCTGATAACTCCCAGGTGGGCACAAAGGACGTGCATTAAGTTGACTTAAAGATTTTAAGTTACAGTGTTTTGTTTGGTTACAGTATTTTATTTTGTTATCTGGTGAAAGAATTTTTTTTTAACCTGACAAGGAATTTGTACAGCAGAAAGATGAACTTAAACCTAGAAAACTATTTGTTGTAATTAAATCTTGGTTCTCTTATACTACTTTAATAAATTTTATATTTGTCCATGTCCTCAGGTACAAGGATTTTATGTGGGTATGCATCATGTAAAATGAATTGAGTTATATCCTTGAGTATAATGTCATTATAGCATATATTTGATCTTTATAACTACAGATGATCCCTTTTCTTTAGTTCTCACTGATTGGAAGCAGTTGCCATGTATGCACATAAATATTAACTCCAAACAGAAAGAAATAATAATTCATACACTTGCACAGAGTCTCATATGTGCTAAATCATATCCTTTCTAACAATTCACTTGCCTCTGAGGAGATAAATAGCTACTGACTTACTCTAGTGTTCTTTATTATTCACTTACCATGATAATATTCACTCTTGTAAACTTTCTGCATAGTAAATGCATGTGCACACATTTTTGGAAAGTAGTGAAATTATTAAGCAGTTGCTGACATACTTAAAGTTAATTGAAAGCTGCATACCACAAGTTAATTGAAAGCTAATGGCAAAATTATAGAATGTTAGCTCCAGAAGGAATTTCTAAGATCTCCAGACCATTTTATGGGCAAGAATACAGAGGCATGGGGAAGGTAAAGGTGGCTAAGTTCATATAATCAAGATCTCACTCGTGGTCACTGATATATATGAGGCTAGAACAGTGTCCTGATCAATCCAGGAGGCTTTCTGTGAATAACCCACTGGAAAATATAAAGGCGGAGAAAGAAATAAGTGTAAGTGGTCATCCTGTATGAAATTTTCCCATATTGTCTTTACAAATAGTTACCCAGTTTTCTTTTAAGAATGATCTAGGCCTGTGCTATCCCATAGTTACAAGCCATTTGTGGCTGTTTAAGTCTAAATCAATTAAAATGTAGTAAAAATTAAAATTTTGTATCTGGTCATGCTAGTCACATTTCAAGCTGCATGTGATTTTTTTTAGTGGCTACCATATTGCACAGCTCAGGTAGAGAACATCTCCAACACCATAGACCAAGTTTTTTGGACGATGTTCTAGGTCAGGGATTCTCAACAACAGCACTCTTTAAAATTTGGCTTATTTTTACTGTGAGAGCTGTCATCTGCCCTGTAAGATGTTTAGCACCCCTATTATCTATCCCAAGACAGTAACACTCCCAAGTTGTGATACACAGAAGTGTCTCCAGACATTTTAAATGTCCCTGGACTGGCAAAATTCCTCCCTACCTCCCAGCCTCACTCCCCATTGAGAGCCACTGATTGAAAGTGTCACAGTAGTAAAAATAAATCCTTAAAATTGCTTGACACCACCCTTTGAGAATCTGGTAATAGCTTTTAAAAATTGGTTTTGATTATTGCCAGGACATTTTGAAAACAAGCAGCTTTACTTACTTCTGTATGCAGAAATGATGGACTCTAACTGAGTTGAGTGTTTTGCACAATGTCTCTTGATTAAATGATGATGAGGAAATAAAGAAGGTCTCCCAAATTTGTACATGGTATCACAGAAATCATACTGGAGATTAGGCAGCACTGCATAGGAATAGTCTTTATTTTGATCAGCAAAATCTCAACTCCCTTTAGTCAAATTCTGTTGTTTTCAGCTCTCTGCAGAATTATGAGTTAGAATAAGATGTATAAATTTTAGTTAAGAAGCCAAAACTCCATGTTTTAGCAAATGGTAGGATTTGTTTTCTTCTAATGGCTGAATAATATTCCATTGTGTATATGTACAACATCTTCTTTATCCATTCATCTACTGATGGACACTTAGGTTGCTTCCATTTCTTGGCTACTGTAAATAGTGCTGCAATAAACATAGGGGTGCATAAATGATTTCACTCATCTGTGGAGTATAAGAACAAGGAAAAAACTGAAGAAACAAAACAGCAGCAGACTCACAGAACGCAAGAATGGAATAACAGTTACCAAAGGGAAAGGGACTGGGGAGATGGGAGGAGAAGGGAGGGATAAGGGGGGAAAAGGGTCATTACGATTAGCACACATAATCTAGTGGGGGTCACGGGAAAGGCAGTATAGCACAGAGAGGACAAGTAGTGATTGTATAGCATCTTACTACGCTGATGGACAGTAACTGTCATGGGGTATGTGATGGGGACTTGATAATGTAGAGAATCTAGTAACCACAATGTTGCTCATATAACTGTATATTAATGATACCAAAATAAAAAAAGAAGCAAAAACTCTCCAAGTTTTATATGAATATCTTAGTTTTCTGAGCCAAAGGTTTTCTATTTTGTTTAGAAAATGAGCATATAGACCTTAATATTTTAAAGGTTGAGCCTTTATACTATCATGGGTACATTATTTTAATGATGTCTAGATGTATTCATTAGAGGGAGGAAGCATCCTATATGTTCAAATGTCTGTTCATATGTATGGGCTTTTTAAAACAAATGATTTTTTTTATTTGGCTTATTTATTAAAACTTGCTGTAGAAAATGTTTCTTTTCATTATTTGATGTGTCTTTGGAAAAGTCTTGTATTTTACAATCTTGAGAAGAACCGATTAGTATTGTCAAGTCTTGAGTGTGCCAAAATGAGGTTTTATAAATAAAGAGACCAAAAAAACATGGAAGAAAGCCTCATTTAACTATATTTCTGCTGTATTCACTTTTGTGAATTCATGTATCAGACTGAATCTCCTGTGGAATAACATTATTGGTATCACTAATATACCAGGACCTCGTGGTGTGGTAGAAAAAGTCTGTTCTCATTGAGTTGATTTGAAAGTTTTAAAGATTAAGTTTTCAGTAAATAGGTAGAAAATTAATGTACTTTGGTCTATTTATTTTCCAATACATATAGCAAATATACTTAAATTTTTATTGCTAAAAATATTTAAAACATAACACTTCTAGTCATATTCATTGATTTTTTTTCAAAATTCACTCAATATTCTTGAAAACATACTTTTGCAATACTGTTATGAAAATTATATTTTCCATACTCAGAGCTTACAGTCCAAATGGTATTTTAAATACATTAATTTCTATGTGTTTATGAAGCAACAGATCACAAGGTTACTTAATACCATTTGGATATAGACATATATCACATTTCATATAATAATTTAGCAACCTAAACCTATTTGTCACTTTTACAATTCTAAAAGTTTAGCTGCAGAATTATTATGAACAACTTAGGAAGGACATAGTACTTTGAAGTATAACTATGATTGATTAGACTAAACTAATTCCAGTGCTGCGTTGTATACTACTTTAATCTTTTTGAAAAGTGAATGAACAGCAGATGGCCTAATAAAGACACTCTGTGTGCTGGCCCGATATGGATTGGCTCTGAAGGGACTGCCTCAACATTTCAGAATCCATGTATTTGCAGTACATCTGTCTTCATCAAGGCAGATGGCTAAAAGAAAGAGAAACTTCCAAACTTTTGGATATGTTCCAGTTTGGGGCTACATGTTCAGATGAAGTGTTAATAGGACCTGACTTTCACCTTTAAGTTCTCAAAAACTGCTATCTCTGAGAGTTCACAATATATTTCTAAATTTGATCGCTGCTACATTTTTGCAGTTTCTTTGTGAAATACTGCATTCCCCTCATGCTTTCTATGTATATCCCAATTATTACTGGACTGTTGTGGACTCTGCATTTTTAACTACTCATCTGACTGTTAAAATGAAAGAAAATAGAAAACAATAGCATTTAACAATTTAAAAATGCAAATGAAGTTTGAGACTTCACATTTCTCTTAAATTTTTTTGTATTTATATTAGAATAAGTATGAAGAGTATTATATTGCCATCATACTTGGAATTTAAAACAAAGCATTTATGTATTTTAAAAATTTTATATCATGAATGCTTAACTACCTATAATGAAAGATATTTATTCATAAAGTACTAATTAATACATAAGAGCATGCTACTGATTTGAGTAAATGGAAGAATGATGGAGAGGAATGATTTGTGAGAATTCATTTCATGCTCTTAGAACAAGTTTGAAGCAGTTTAATTAGAAGAAAATGTTTTGGCATCTGTTTCTGCTTAGTAAATGAATGAATTTTTTGAAAAATGTCTTTAACATGGTAATTTCTTCAAACTGGTTTGTACATTTTAGTGAAATGTATTTATGAAACAACCCTTTTTGCACTGGTTTTTGTGTCTTGCAGTAATAACAAGTAGTGGCTACAGCCCCAGATCAGCACATCAATATTCCCCACAGCTATATCCTTCCAAGTAAGTGGTCACTAGATTCTTTAAGATCTGTGAGAATAATTTTCTGGGATTATTTTTATTAATCTGTATTCACACAGTGTAACGACTTTAAATTGGGATACATTTGTATATAAATGTCTTACAGATAGAAAGTTGGATAGATACTTAGATAGATTAGTCATATAGATAAATATCCTGTACAAATCTAGAAATATATCCTTACTTTATCCAGGTAAGTCCCTTCATTCTGAATATTTATATACCTTGAGGAAAGCATCAAGCTCAAATCAGAATACACTGACTTTTTAATGAAAAACTTTAAATGCTGATTCGTTTAAAGAAAATCTAAAAAGATTGCACTTTATTCATACATCAACACTTCATAATTTCTTCTATCATTAACAATATTTTTATTGGATTTCAAGTTCTAATAAACATAATTTTGAAGAATATGCTGCATTCTTACAGCATGCATACAGTTTCTTACAACAAATGTAGTCAATTTACTGAGAACAGCAGTAGAAATTTTAGGTTTAACTATCTTGTGTGTATTTCTGAATTTGGTTGCAATCAGCTAGATGTATCAAGATTTTGGATTTCTTTAGTCATACACATTAAAATTTTTTGCAGCAGCTACAGTGTCCCATCCTTAAGTATAGGCTGAAAGTAGATATCCATTTAGAAACACTCTGTAAAATGTAGTGTATCAAAACAGAGAGCAGACTTTGCCCAAAAGGCATTCCATTTCTTTTCAGGAAGCTGCCTATCTTTTTTTTTTTTTAAGATTTCCTGTTCTTGGTAGGGGTTTTGACCACTTTTGTAGGCACTGTATAGCATTAGGACACTCATGGTGACTGAGAATACACTCATGGGCATGTTAATGAGCTGGCCTGAGCTCCATTTCCCTCATCTACTTATTAATTGTAAAACTATTTCAGATGTAGACAAGACCTGGAAGAGACTGTAGGTCTAATAGCTAAACCAAATTTCTCATTTACAAGTGAGGTGTAGACTTAGGGAGTTTATTTGTTCAAGGTTACTAGATAGGTTTGGGACAGAGCCTGGTCTCCTGACATTCAGACTCTTATTTTCATCTATATTATAGAAAATTGTATTGTGGATAGAAAAGAGGATTACTTCCTGGCTGTTATAAGGTTTCACTGAATCTAAGCTGTCTGAATTAATATGCAGTCTTTGTTGCCACAGTAATGCTATTTTTCTGATATTTAGGCCCTATCCACACATTCTTTCTACACCAGCAGCTCAAACAATGTCTGCCTATGCAGGCCAGACTCAGTATTCGGGGATGCAGCAGCCAGCCGTCTACACAGCCTACTCACAGACAGGACAGCCCTACAGCCTGCCCACTTACGGTATTTCTCCTCTTCTCTCTTCTCCTCCTTTGGTTATTAGCAGGTAATCTGCTGCCCTGTAGTTGTGTATTCTACTGTAAGTTACAACTCAGATAATTTTACTGATTAAATGGTTTGCACGTGCGTTTTCCAAACAGATTTGGGCGTGATGTTGCCAGGCATCAAAACAGAGAGTGGACTTTCACAGACTCAGTCCCCATTACAGAGTGGGTGCCTCAGTTACAGCCCAGGGTTTTCTACCCCACAACCCGGCCAGACACCTTATTCTTACCAGATGCCAGGTAAGAAGCCGCACAGGAAACATGTTTTATGAGAAGGGATTCTTTGCATGAAACCCCTTGGCTTCAGACTAGGAGTACAGTCATGAAGACAGTTTTAAACATTACCACTGCTCACACAATTTTATCAGAAAAAGCAAATAACTAGGAAGAAGCAATGAAAAAAGTTGAATATACATCAAGAAATATGACCCATGCTAAATTTAAATGCTTAAATTTACGTTGAATAAAATTGGCAGGTCCAAGCAAAGCAGCTTCCAAGCCAGTCACCACACCAGTCACATGTTTGTCATCTACTTAAATAAATAACTTAAAAGACTCATGGCAAAAACCTGTATTTTCTTGTCGATATTCCCAAAGTCCATAATGCTGTCTTGATAAAATTGAATGAGCACTTTCCTAAGTCCCATTTATTATTGACTGCTTGAGGACTTTTTGTTCATTCCTAAAATGCCTCTCCCATATTAATAGTATATTTCTTAATAGGAATATTTGTATAATTCATATGACACCCCCCCTCAAATAAATCCTCTATGATTAATTTCTCTTCCATATTTGATCATTAGGTAGTAGCTGTAGAAAAGAACTTTAGAACTTTAGTAACATAGTCAAAACATTAAAAACTTAATTTATCATTTTGTCTACATTGTTGGTCATAAATTTGGGGCTCTATTAACTTATTTGAATCAACTTGTATTGAAGTTTTAGTCATTTGACTAAAATGAAATACTTAGACCTTTATGCTGAAGCAACAGGTCTCCTTTTACCTAGAATGTAGGAAGAAACATATTTGCAAATGTGCTGCAGCCAGAGTGAGGCACAGAGCTTCAGTTAGCCATGTGAAAGAGACCACAGAGACATTGTCATTTATTTCCCAAGTACTTTCATATTGGATATTCTGGGCCAAGTCAATTTGCATTGTTTACATAATGTTGCCTTTTTCCAAACATACTGAGAAAAACAAATAATCAGGTGTCTCAGACATCTTTCATTTTACTCTTCCATAAGAACATATTTTTTTTAATCTGTAAACTAATATTTCACTTGTCTTTGCCCCAATTTAAAAAATAATGAAATCAAATTCTGACCTTAGTGGTAAAGTTCTTAAAAGGCCCTCAACCCTTAGATGACTGTAAGTGTGAATAGTTCTTCCTTGGTTCCGAGCCCTAGATCACAGCAATTTTTGTTCTAAGAAAAGAACACAGAAGGAAGGATGACAGTGAGCTGTAAGCATCAATTCTTAACAGGTTCTCAGTTTTCTAAGCTAACGCCATCCAAAGGTTTTACTCAAGTGGTTTCCATATGCATATGTAGTTGGTGTGACCATTTGAAAGTTCTGGCAGTTTCCTGGAAGCAGTCTCAGTTTGTATATTTTATTCTTCCAGTACCTCTGTACTTCTGGACATTGCACCCTTGAAGGATAGCTGTAATTCTTGTTTAGCTTAACAGACTTCTGTACAAAAGACTGTAACTGTTATCTTAAGAGAGAGAGAGCTAAAACATTTTCTTCATAAATCTCTGAACTTCAAATTTCACATTTTGTTGCCTTAACAAAATTAAAAATATATTTGTCTCATTGAATTCTGCAAAGTGGAATGTTTCATTAATTTGTAAGAAATACTTTAAATGCAACTTGTTCTTTACCTCTAGGTTCTAGTTTTGCACCATCATCTACTATTTATGCAAATAATTCAGTTTCCAATTCAACAAATTTCAGCGGTTCACAACAGGTATAGTAGCTTTTTGTATTTATGGTTTTCCTATCTATTTCAGATATTTAAAGAATAGTTTCAGGTTGCCGCGTATGTGTATATTCTCCTAGAATCAGGTTTCTTTTATTTATAGCTAAGATGTCATCTGAAGGTAGTAAAAATTGGCTATCTAGAATTCTTGGGATATGTGTTGTTCTGGGTATTTTAGGATTTCTGGTTGCTAAAGGTTTACCCTTTAAACACTTATGCCATGATTCTTTTAATCATAAGGAATATAAATATGAAATGTATTGCATATCTTACTATTGAACTATGCTACACATCATTTTATTTTTCTTAACAAAAGCTATCATTACGAACATTAATAGATTCAACTGTAATCAATAATTGGGTTTTGCTGTAGATGATCACATTTTAATCCAACATATTTGTAATTAAACAAAATGCCTCCTGGACTACTCTGAGTTTTTTCTTTTCTTTTAGTTATATATTCCTTATTAATGTAAGAAAAGGCAAAAAAAATAAATTTTGATAATTAAATAGTGTAGAATAATAATGTTTTTGATGGGATTAAACTTTGTAATTTGGCATTAGTTAGAAAAATGGTTTAATATCAGAGCTAGTGTACATATTTTTTATTTAAAATTTGAAAAATTTTGATAATCCAAGTAGCTTAATTTTACTCATTTATTGATATAGCAAATATTTATTGAGCACTTGCTATCCATAAGATTTTTGACTAGGCATTGAAGATTAAAAACTAATGTCATTATTCTGTGCTCTCCTGAGAAAACAAATGTGACAAAATTATGGACAGAGGGTGGAATGTAACAATATAATAATAGAAATATACACTAGGTAGACTGGTAGCATAAGGGAAAGACTGCCCTACTTGGGAAGATTAAAAAAAGATTCATAAAGGAGAAGAAAAAATTATATCATAAAACAGATCCAGTATTATCTGAAAATTTAAATATACTGGATCCAATATAAGATGTAACCTGTATTTTTGGCCATGATCTAAATACCAATTTATTATTTTAGCGAATACTTACAGTACTTATTATGTATTAAGAACTGGTCTGTATTCTGGGGACCTGAAGGTGGGGACAGAAGTCGGTCGGACCTGATTCCTGCCTCACATGGCATACATCCTGCTGAGAGAAGCAGACAATAAAACAGTAGACACATAAGCAAATATAGAATTGAAAAGCATGAGGGAAAAACAGGATCCTATTAAAAATATTACTAGAAATATAATTTTGAGTAGGGAAGATTTCATGGAAAGCATCTCTCTGGAAATGGCTTCTAGGCCAAGTCTTCTAAGAGTTAGGTGACGAATTAGGGCAACGATGCGTCAGGCATAGGAAGCAGCATGTCCCAAACCCCTGAGGGCTGAAAACATGAACTTGAAGAAGGCCAGCATTTAGTCGGGACACAAGGAGCAGGTGGGGTGTCTATCCTCATATATCTGTGAATATAAGCAGGGGACTGCACGTGTAGCTCCCTGCGGTTTACAGTAAGGAATATTGATTTTACTCCAAGCCCAATGGGAAGCTAATTAAAGGATTTTAAGCAAGAGAATAGCTTCATATAACTAACGTTTTGAAAAGATTACTCTGGCTTCAGGGACTTTGGAGAAAGCCTAAACTGGAGATGAGGAGACAAATTAGAAAACTGGTCCATGAGCTACAACAGGAAGTGAAGGTCGCTTGGACCAGGGTGACAATAGTGGGACTGAAAAGAAGGGGAGATCTTTGAGATATGTGAGTACAAAAAAAACCCATTATATTCACCGGAAGCTGGTAGTCTGGACCCTTCCAGTATGTAACTTCATCTTCCTGTGAGGGCATTAGCAGCCTGATGGAGAGCTTCAGTACACAGGTGTTAGAGTTTGGCTCTCTGAGTTGTCCTTCAGGCTCTGAAACTTGCTAGTTGTTTGATTGTGTGCAAGTCACTTAACCACTCTATGCCTTCATCCCCTTCCGTGTAAAATGGGGATAATAAGAATACTGCATAGGGAATTGTAAGGATTAAATGAGTATGTCTATTAAAAGCCTGACACAAAGTATAGGCACTATGTAAATGTTTGCTTATCACTGTTTTACTATAAGAAGGATGTGTTGGTGGGAACCTTGTGCAGACATGGCTAAGAGGTTTTCTTGTCCTTCACTCACAGGTGGTAATGGGGGAATGTCAGATCCAGAAATTAACACACAGACAGTATTTTAGTTTCCTGCCATATTACTTAATCCACTCTGATAATATACATATTCACTTATACAGAGAATTTCCTTTCTTGGAATCCACATGAAATGCAGGTCTTGGTTCCCTTAGGAACATGTATCAGGCAATTGTTGCTCTGACCAAGGATTTGTTATCACTGTTAACAGTTTGGGCTAAAACAGGCTAGATACATAAAGCAACAATTATTGCAACAAATCTTTGTTATCTTAATATGTAAAAGGATTTTGAAGGATTATTTAGATCACTTTAATATTCTTAAAAATGTTTAATAAAAAGCATGTCAGAGCAGTTGATCCACTCTTGTCTTTTTCTTTTTTCCCTTGTAACAAATGAATTAAACTAAGTATTTGAAAATCTCACTAAAGACTTTAGGTCAAGGCCTTAGGTGGAAACATAGCCTGTGAGAGGTTGGGTAAGAAAATCTCTAATTCATATGCTTTTATTTTCTCTTTACTTCTGACATAATTATCAAGGGTAGCCTAGAAGGGTAATGAAAAATCACAATAATGCAGATCATGGTCTGTATGGAAGCTGGGGGGGCAGCCACAGCACATCCTTGCTGGTAATGTTAGAAAAGGTATATGAGAATTGACACTGTGAATATTACTGGTTCCATCTCCTTCTCTCCTCTTCAAGTACCTAAGACCTGATGATGTAGATCCTTGGATAAGTAATTACAGGGTCAAAATGAAGCATATGAAATGTTTAGGTAGATTAAAAACTGTGTATTGGACCTGGTTTGCAAAGCCAGCAGCGTAGTTCATTACTGTGCACACATAGACAACGCCACGAAACGGTCTCAGGATCACTAGGATCACCTCAAAGCTGTGGACTCCAAAACAAATGGAGTCAAACACTAATCTTTCAGTTACCATAGTGATTGCTTTTCCTTGGGAGCATTCCAGAGGGTAATTTCTCTTTCAGACACACATCTCAATTACTGTTTCAGGATTATCCATCCTACACAGCCTTTGGCCAAAACCAGTATGCACAGTATTACTCAGCATCAACGTATGGGGCATATATGACATCGAATAACACGGCCGACAGCACATCGTCCTCAACCTCCACCTATCAGTTGCAGGAGTCTCTCCCAGGACTGACTAGCCAACCAGGTACAGATCTTTATCCAGGTGAAATACTTCTATATGTTTTGCTGGGTCTAATCATATGGAGAAAAAGGGCAATTCAAAAACAAGGCTGAAAGCCTCCAGATAATTATGCTGATGTTTAATCTGTGTTAGCACCACTGTAGAAGATGAGACTCTCCTTCTGGCACTTCAGAAAACCCTTCTTTCAGAGGTGGGATAGTTAGGAGCTATTAATTTCAAATACAGATAGAAAAAGATCAGTGGACCTTTTGCCACGCTAATTCATTTTGTGAAGATCTTGACAATATAGAAGTTGTTATGTTATCTTCTTTGGATGTACTGATAATATTTCCTTTATGCTTGAGAGATTGTTTAGCTCTTTCACCTTGTGAGTCATCAGTTAGCTCCAGCCAGTGAACATCTACCTTCCTAGGATTTGTAAGCTCATCGGTGGATAATTTTAACATCTTTCTTTGATCAGCATATATTTAAAATCCACTTTATTAATTTTCTGAAACTTATCTGTAGTCTTATTGGAATTGCATTTGCTCACACATATTTCACACAGCTTAAGTATTTAAAGTTAAAAGCAAGTTAAACAGAGAGCCATCGTAACAATCCCAATCAAAATTGCAGCAGAACTCTTCGGAGAAATTAACAGGATGACTAAAATTACAAGGAAAGACAAAGGAACTTAGATAGCTAAAGTAATTTTGCAAAATAAAAACAGAGTTTGAGAACTCACATTGCTTGATTTTAGGACTTTTCATAAAGAACAATAATCAAGAATCTGTGGTATTGACAAAAGAATAGACACAGAGAGCAATGGAACAGAAGAGTCCAGAAACACCAAAAAACAAACTTTTGACAAAGATACAAAGGCAATTTGGGAATGAATAATTTTTCAAAAAATGGTGCTGGAACAATTGGACATTCATATGCAAAGAACAAACCTTCCCCCAGAATCTTGGCTCATAACTTGTACCATATGCAATAACATGTAAAAACTAAAAAAAAATGTCTAGAAAAAAACACGAAGGGAATCTTTGTGTACTTGGATTATGAAAAGTATACCACTAAAACCACAACACCTAAAAAAAGAATAAAACAAATTAGACTTCATAAAATTAAGAGATTCTCTTCCTCAAGAAACACTGTTGAAAGAGTAAAAAAAAGACAAGCCACAAATTAGGAGAAAATGCTTTCATAACACATATCTGATAAAGGATTTGTATCCAGAATATATAAACAACTATGAAAACTCAATAAGAAAAATGAAGTTTAGAATTTTTGTAAATGCCAATGGATGTCCAAGCATAGGTTTCTGACTTTTGTTATTTGTAAGATCCAGTCTCATCTCTGCTTCTTTTTTTTTTGTCAAACCTTAGAAGGACAAGGAAATAGAGAAACATGGTCACAGCACTATAAATTCTTTCTAACTAGACCCATGGTTCCAAGGAGATTTAAGACCATTTAACAAGTATTTATTGAGTACCTATTAAGTACCAAGTACTGCTGATGTTTCAGCAGCAAAAGAGCTGTCCGCATTTCATTAGCTTACATTTAACAAGCAAAACAGAGCAAGCAAATAATTACAATAGTGTTGGGAAAAGGAAAATGCTAGATAATATGGGAATGTTAACAAGAAAACTAATTTGAACATAAGGAAATGATAATGAAGCTCATACTTTAAGCAACAGCTAAGAAATGGTTATATCATAAATCGATGAAATGGTAATGTCAACTCATCAATTTTGGCTACCTTTCCAGAGTATTGTCTCTAACTATGGACCCAAGGAAAAATCGTCTAGTAGATACACTAGACTTTGTATTTTGTGCCCTGCATTTCAGTTTCTTTCCCCTTATCTTCCTTTTAGATCCTCCCTCCTGTGAACACCCAACGCTTTGAATTTCTGGTCCTTATTCCCTTAAGACTCCTGTTTAGGCTTTCCATCTAGCCTCAGCCTATCTGAGCAGCTGTATCCTTCCTGTGCAGGGCCAGGACTAAGATAAGGCCAGGGAGATACTGGGCACAAATTTGAGGAGGCATTTATTCTCAGGGACCTTAGATTTGTGCCCCAGTACCTCACTCATCTTAACTCCATCCCAACCTAAATCCCATGTTCCAAATCTGTCCTGATATTCTTTGAGTTAAAACTTGAATTTTATCAAGAACATTACCTTAATTTAAAGAATGAGTGATTTCAGAATCCTCTCTTGACAAGTAGTGGAGATACTTTAGGTAAGGAGATATTTGACATACTATTATACCATGAATAGGTTTCTTCAATAGTGAATGCATGGGGAAAGATAGGTAGGGTGACTGTGTTCAAAAACAAGACTACAGGCATGTATAATCATTATGATCTCAGAAACTGACCGATGGGACCAGCAGAGTGTTTTTAAATTTAGAGAATAGATCTAACATGAATGAATATTTCATACTGGGTAAAACTTTGAGTGAAAAGCTGAGTTGCTCTAATTTCAATATGATTACAAGAGTTTCTCTGCAGAAAAGATGCAAATGTACACTTTCCACTAGCCAAAGAGTAATCAATATTCAGAATAGCTATTTTATTTATATTATAAATACTAAATGAAGCATGTAGATATCCCGAGTGTATGACTTTGAATGTGACATAACCAAATGTAACATTCTCACATCACTGTCATAATGCTGGACTTTCTTCAGCCTTCCACTGGTTACTAATGCCAACAAATACAGTTTGACATAATTTTCAGATCTTATCAGACTTTCTGTTGAATTTTAAAAAGAAGTTATTTCTAATTGTAACTGTATTGTTCTCTCAACCAAGATCATAACAATACACATGTCTGGATTTTTAAGAAATTCTGAGACCCAGACCTTCAGTCAACATAGCTTTTAATTTGGTTTTGCCTTTTTAGAACTGGCATGCTTCTAAAAAGTAAACAAGTTTGTAACTATGAGATTTTATTTGTTATTGATGAAATCGGAGTTTAGTTCCAGGGCATAAAAAGTATTTCCTATTGACTATTTTAGACTTAAAGCAGAGACCTAACAATTAAATCCATAATTTTTCATAAGTCATTTTGTTGACTTCTCCCATTTTTAAAATAGAAACATACTTTATGTTCTATAAGAGACAGCTGGTTGTTCTGATTTAGAGATAAACCTAATGAAATAAAGTTGGATCTAAATATCCAAAACTTAGAAGGTGCAGTGATTCATTACTGCACTGATTAAAGGATAATTATTCAATCATGTATTGTGTTGGCCCAAGAAAAAGCCTAAGGCAATTGGTAATGACTTATGTTATTTGGAAATTGCAAAAAACATTAAGTTATTTACTTTACCTTATTAGGTAGACTATATTTAAGGAAATATTACCAAGCTGATTAGGAACAGATATTTTAGTTCATTATCTTCATAAAGATCTCTCTTTGCCTTGAAAATTTTCTTAGGTAGATTATATTTTTATTTGCATTCAGAAATTTTGATGACTGGTTAACACATTAGGATTGGAAATATTTTTATAGCTCTTCCTTTTTAAATATTTTTAACATTTATACAGTTAAATATAATGAGTAATTTATAGCAATATTATTCTTGTGAGACCTTGGCAAATTTTACAATATATTAATTAAACTTTATAAGTACTTGAAAAAGTAAAGGATATAGTTAGATCACTTCACTCTTTAAAAAGAAGCCAGTTTCTTAGGCAGAACTCTGTAGACTTTCTATAGCTTCATGGCATTTCACATAAGGAAGGAAAGCAAAGTGCTAATACATTTAATTGAAGCTAATAAGAGGATTTAGATAGAAAGAACTACCACATTAGCTTCTCTGCTAATTTATACTTTCCCTAACTGCCACACTTATATACCCTAGTGCAATCACCTGAGTGAAATTTGGCAGGGATACTGGAATTAATAGCTTTCTCCTTATAAAAAAAAATAAAGTCTCATCAAATGTTTAATGACTAGCTGAGCTCAAGTTCTGGCTTTTACACTTTATCAGAAGAAAGGATAGTACCTTCAAAACATACAGAGGTCAGTACAGTTCCACCCACATGGCTATAGGAGACCAGGGACAGCACAGGCCCTTGTCAGGACCTTTGCCTTTATGGGGAAGTTCCATCCATTGGTTCCTTGGCCCTCATTCTCACAGAAATTCTATTAAGTTGATACAGTGATTTTCATTGGTAGAAACAATACAGGTTTGACCTCTTTGTAACCTGGGGGATTCGTTGCTATTTGGGGGAGGACGTATAGTCTAATGGTTAAAGCAGAAGTTCTGGAATCATACCAGCATTCTACGTATAAACTATTTCATCTTGGTGAATTACTTAAGTCCCACATGACATGTCTCCAGCAGTCATGTTATTCGCAGAGGGTAATGAAGGACCAAATTCATTGGGTCGAAGTGAGATCTAAGTCAGATATATATATACACACACACATATACATATACACACATATACATATTATATATATATATGTATGTGTATATATATATATATAAAATCTAATGTAAATAATGTTTCACAATAGAGAGCATTGTGAAATCAGTAAGAAAAATATAACCCCATTTTTTAAGTGGGCAAAAGATTAAAACAGTTACTACATAAATAGAAGATACAAAATGGGCAAGAAACATATAAAAAAGTGATTTACATCATTACTCATCAAGCAAATGCTAATTAAAACTACAATTTTATGCCACTGTACCCCCACAATAGCTAATATAAAGGAAACTGGCAACACCAGGTATGGGTTAGGATGCGGAGCAATTGGAACTTTTGTTTCCAGGAGAAGAGTAAATTAATACAGCCATTTTTGGAGAAGGTTTATCTGATAAAGGATTTGTATCCAGAATATATAAACAACTATGAAAACTCAATAAGAAAAATGAAGTTTAGAATTTTTGTAAATGCCAATGGATGTCCAAGCATAGGTTTCTGACTTTTGTTATTTGTAAGATCCAGTCTCATCTCTGCTTCTTTTTTTTTTGTCAAACCTTAGAAGGACAAGGAAATAGAGAAACATGGTCACAGCACTAT